TATTAATGCGTAGATAATTGCGGGACATTACACACCCACCAGTGGTGGTTTCAAATTTTTTGGGAACCTCTTCTGTAGGTGTGGCCTGCTTTTCGGGTCCACTGGTGGAACCTCTTCTAACTGGTTTGGTGGATTTGACGAACCAGTTCTACCGAATAGGTGCGAACTGGTAGGAACCCACCTCTGGATGGATGGATGATGGATAGATAGATAGATAGATAGATAGATAGATAGATAGATAGATAGATAGATAGATAGATAGATAGATAGATAGATAGATAGATAGATATGTCAGAAGTGATTTCACATCCAAAGTAAGAAGGACCCACTATTATACTGAATTCAAAACAGGATACAGAGCTTTCATCTCACTCATCCAGACCTTGACTGGATCTAGGCACACAAAATACAAATATTGTTTAGCTAATGATTAAAATACGAACACTGTTGACAATGCATAATAGGTAATGAATACATACTGTATTCATATTATGTTTCAACATTTTAAGTGAAACATAATTTTTCAGAAGGTGCCATAAAATAAAACGTGAAAAATGCACCACATGCAATATTAACTCATTGTCTCTCTGAACGTAGTTTCTTAACAATCTCAACATTATACTGAAGTAATAACTCTGGGCAATATTGTGATATTATTTAGGTAAAATGTAAAGGTATTTAATTCTAATGAACTTCCAAAAGAAATTTAAACACAGCCTTAAAATTCTATCATTGAAATAAGTAATTAACTGAATCCGCTTCATCCTTTTTGGCTTCCCCTTTATTTGTTTCTCTTATTTGTTTTAATTTTGATCTGCCAACTCAGTATAATTTCATCCATCTATATAAATTAAAACATTCCGGTTTTAGCGGGATTTTTAAATTTTGTACCTTTCCTGCCCAGAAATGCATAGAGTCCAGTGATTCTGATAGAAATAATAATAATGGACTTTGCTGATGCCACACAGTGAGAGGTGAATTTATGTCAACGGGCAGTTAAAAAGGTGAGATTAAGGGTATGTGTGTATGACAATTGAAGCATATTGCAGCCACCAATTTGTTCTTTTAAAACCATACCCCGAAGGCATTCCTGTAAAGAAATTAAAATTTTCAATAAATTTTCTGAGGCAGGTTTGCGTATTAGTTGGATGTAACCCAGCAATGAAGTTTTAATTAGCTCTTCCTCCTCTTTTATACCATGATCAAAGTAATTTTGATTTG